CGCCGTCAGATCAGCATTCGCCATCAGAACAGCATTCGCCGTCAGATCAGCATTCGCCGTCAGATCAGCATTCGCCGTCAGATCAGCATACGCGTCAGATCAGCTACGCGTCAGATCAGCTACGCGACAGATCAGCTACGCGACAGATCAGCATTCGCCGTCAGATCAACATACGCGTCAGATTAACATACGCGTCAGATCAGCATACGCCGTCAGATCAGCATACGCGTCAGATCAGCTACGCCACAGATCAGCATTCGCCGACAGATCAGCATTCGCCGACAGATCAACATACGGGTGATTCTGTAAACGAGGAAAAACAAAAAGCAACTACAGGCTGTTCTGGAATCACCCTGCTGTACTTTATGTCTGTGGGTTTTATTTATTTATGTATGCAAACTGTGATCAAACAAACACCATTTTCTTTAGCTTACGTTGAGGGAAATCATTTGTTCCGCAGGAATTCCGATTTCTCCTAAAATGTTCCAACCCTAGAGAAGAAATGCGAACTTTGCTAAAGCCCACAATTGGTCAAAAACTTTAAAGACTAATTCTTTTTTAGGCAGTGAACACATCAGGGTTAGCGGGTCAAACTGCCAACAGTCGCAGATGTAAATGCACCGGAGAGAAGAAGACTCCAAACTAACCGGATTTAAGCGACTGTGTGGAAAATTAAATCAGAGGAAAATATTTTAAGTTATACCGAGGAAAATAAGAATCTGAACTTCCTGCTATTTTGAAACTCCTCCCACTTAGGAGGGTCTGAAATCGTCATCATAGGAGCATGTCCACTAAGAGAGACACAATCTAAAAAATCAAAAACATAGAAATCGCAAAGTATGATTTTATAACTATTTATTTGTATGATGCAGCTGCTAATAAGTATTTGAACACATGTCTGACCCTCAAAGACCCGTTAGTCTGCCTTCAAAACGTCCACCTCCATTTATTCTCCTAAATTAGATCTATAATAGATGCATAAAGACACCCGTCCATCCCATACAATCGGTAAGCATCCAACTGCTAACATGGCCCAGACCAAGAAGCTGTCCAGAAGACCCCAGAGACCAACCTGTCCTCCTCCACCAGGCTGGAAACGGCTGCAGGGAAATAACCGAGCAGCCTGGTGGAAAAAAGCTCCACACAACGGAAGAAGCTAAACATGGCTGACAATCTCCCTCAGACTGGGGCTCCATGCTAGATCTCACCTGCTGGGGTCTGACTGATCCTAAGGAAGGTCCACCGTTTCCATGGTTACTGTTGGTAATACACTAAGACGTCATGGTTAGTAGCAAGACTGGTCTGAAATGATGCATGGAAGGTTCCCCTGCTTAAAGCAGCACATGTCAAAGACCGTCTTTAGTTTGCCAATGAGCATCTGGATGATCCACAGGAGTCATGGGAGAAAGTCATGTGATCAGATGAGACCAAAATATAACTTTTTCATCAGAATCCCACTAACACCATCCCTACTGTGAAGCACGGGGGTGGTAGCATCATGCTTTGGGGGTGTTTTTCTGCACATGGGACAGGGTGACTGCACTGTATTAGGAGAGCATTGGGAGATTTAGGGGAGCAACCTCCTTCCCTTAGTTTTAGAGCAATGAAGATGGATGGAGGCTGGGTCTTCCAGCATCACAATGACCCAAAGCACACAGCCAGGATAACCAAGGAGGGACTCTGGAAGAAGCAGATCTAGGTTCTGGTGTGGCTTAGCCAGTCTCCAGACCTAAACCCAATAGAGAATCTTTGGAAGAAGCAACAGCCCAGAAACCTGACTGATCTAGAGAAGATCTGTGTGGAGGAGTGGGCCAAAATCCCTCCCGCAGTGCAAACCTGCTGAAAAACTACAGGACTACAACGGCAAATATTAACATTGATTCTCTCAGGTGTTTCAAATACTTATTTGCAGATGAATAATACCAAAAAAAAATTTTTTTTAAATCCTACATTTGCATTTCTGGATGTTTTTTTATGTCTCTAACAGTGGACATGAAGATGTGATGACAATTTAAGACCCTCCATGATTTCTAAGTAGGAGGACGTGCAAAATAGCAGGAAGTTCAAATCCTTATTTTCCTCTCTGTATAAAAGCAACCAGGAGGGATTGATTCAGGCTGCGACAGAGGAAGACTTTCATCTGGATAAATCTGGATTTGGGAAAGTTGGCAGCCTTTTGGAGAGCTTAGCATTAGCGGTTAGAGTTAGTCAAACTAACTGTGATAATCCCTGGATAAGGACTAAATCCACTTCAACATGTCAGCAAGTTAATTCAGTTCTAATGACAGCTGCTGTTTGTTCTTTCACTTCAAAATAAAATAAAGGAACAAGTATTCAAATAAAATGTTCCTTCCTAACAGAAAACAGATTTAATTCAATAGTTTAAAGTTTTTCAAACCAAAGATTTAGAAATCTCTGAATAATATTGATAAATAATCAAAACACTGCTTCTCATCAGTTGAAAAGTTGCTAAAAAATGACTGACGACATAGAAAAGTTTATTCAGATTGTGAGCGGATCTTTGAATGTATTCAAGAATTTCTTTTAGATTTTTGGAGTTGATTTGATTTAATAACTAAGCAATAACAATCTTGAAATAAAGCATCTTATTTCTAAAGCCATTTATGATCAGATGTTATGAAACATGGAAAGAAAGAAACTTCAAAGCCTTTGAAAAAAGGAAGGATAAGAGACTAAATCTGTCAAAGAACAAAGTTATTCTGTGAAAAGGTGTAAATTATTAATTACTTTATAAATTGTAAAGACATAAAATAGAAAACAGTGAACTTTATTAATATCCACACCTCTAATTAAAAAGAACTTAATATTAAGTTTTAAAAATATATATATTTTTTATTGTTCTCAAACAAATCCAAAGCAGGAAGTTTCTCTGTTGAAGATGAACCACAGGTGGAAATGCAGCGTTCCAGGCGGAC